CTGGTTAGAATCCAGATTAAACCTCTAGTTTGTGTTGTTTGAAACTTTACTGTACACTCACCATGTTGAGTGTGTTTTTTCCCACCGCCCCCGCAGGTCTGATCCCTCTGGGTCCATGTTCAAACACGGCTCCGTCAGACCTCCTGGTGGACCACAGCCAACCCCCGAACCGACCGCTGGACTCCAAAAGAATGACCTGGAACAAAAAACAACTTAAAACTAAACACAGCGTGGTAAACCATTAGTCCCAGTATCTTACATTTTATTTACAAATTTCCTTTAAAGGTCCAATCAGTGAGCTGTGTAGAGAGTGAGATGATAAAGGTATCTTACTATCTGATCATTAAGGAAACATGCTATGTTGAAGTGCTGGCTTCTCTGACAACAATGCAGCAGCCAGTATGTCCTCCTTCTAACTTTAGATTCTGCTCCTGAATGATCTGGATTTGTTTGGACATGTGGCTCCTTTCTCACCTGTCCTAAGGAGGATTTTTTTCACTGCCTGTGTGTGTGTGTGTGTGTGTGTGTGTGTGTGTGTTTGTGTGTTACCTTGGTAACCTGGGGGCTCTTGCTGAGGTAGTACGACGCTGCCAGACCCCCGATCCCCCCACCGAGGACTGCAACCGTTCTCATTGGCTGTTTTAGAGATAGAATTCAAATAAACTTTCTTTTATCAAAGCTGGTCAGAAACAACGAGCAGAGAAGAACTACTAACGGTTTGAAATGTTACCATTGCAAGTTTGTCCATAAATACATAAAAATGTGTTGATTGTTTAACCTTGGAGCCCCCCCCCCTCCTTTCTCTAAAAAAAAAAAAAGCTGACCTCCCAGGATCCATAAAATCTCATCAGAATATGCCTACACACTTGCCCGACACAAAGCCCCGTGTCCCCCCTGAGGTCTCAGGAGCCCCCCCCCCCACCACTGAATGTGTACTTATTGGTACTTATTATCAATCCTTTAAATAAAAGCGATTGTGTCATGATGAAGTCTGAGACGTTGAGAGAAGCTCAGCTGGTACCAACGAACAGTGAACACATCCTGAGGAGCAGCATGAGGGGAGATAAGAGAGGAGTCTGTTACAGGGAGGGTCTGCTGCAGGACGCCTGCTGCTCCTGATATCAACTCTTTATCAGAAGCAGTTTAGACAACTGTCTGTCTCTCTGTGTGTCTCTCTGTCCTTCTGTCTGTCTCTCTGTGTGTCTGTCTCTCTGTCCTTCTGTCTGTCTCTCTGTGTGTCTGTCTCTCTGTGTGTCTGTCTCTCTGTGTGTCTGTCTCTCTGTCCTTCTGTCTGTCTCTCTGTCTCTCTGCCTGTCTCTCTGTGTGTCTGTCTCTCTGTGTGTCTGTCTCTCTGTCTCTCTGCCTGTCTCTCTGTGTGTCTGTCTCTCTGTCCTTCTGTCTGTCTCTCTGTCCTTCTGTCTGTCTCTCTGTCTGTCTCTCTGTCCTTCTGTCTGTCTCTCTGTCCTTCTCTCTGTCTCTCTGTCCTTCTGTCTGTCTCTGTCCTTCTGTCTGTCTCTGTGTGTCTCTCTGTCTGTCTCTCTGTCCTTCTGTCTGTCTCTCTGTCTCTGTCCTTCTCTCTGTCTCTCTGTCTGTCTCTCTGTCTCTCTCTCTCTGTCCTTCTGTCTGTCTCTCTGTCTGTCTCTCTGTCTCTCTCTCTCTGTCTCTCTGTCTGTCTCTCTGTCTGTCTCTCTGTCTCTCTGTCTCTCTCTCTGTCTCTGTCCTTCTCTCTGTCCTTCTCTCTGTCTCTCTGTCTGTCTGTCTGTCTCTCTGTCCTTCTCTCTGTCTCTCTGTCCTTCTGTCTATCTCTCTGTCCTTCTGTCTGTCTCTCTGTCCTTCTCTCTGTCTCTCTCTGTCTCTCTGTCTCTCTGTCCTTCTGTCTGTCTCTCTGTTACTCCACTCAGTGTTCAACATCCTAACCCTCTGCTTACAACAAAACAAAACTTTATTTCTAATATATATTTATTATAGTTTGTCTCTCTGTGAGAGTATCTTAAATATCTTAAATATCTTAAACATCTTAAATAGTTTAAATAGTTTAAATATCTTAAATACAAAGTGATCCTTCAGTCGGCTTTAAATGAAACTTGAGGGTCAGAGAGGATCTGAACCTTCAGATGTGTTTTCTCTTCTTCTCTGTTTCTCTGAATGGAGTTTTTAATAAACTGTTTACATCAGCACAAAGAGGAGCATTAAAAAAAAACGTTTTTATAAAGAAACATTCACATCCTTATATCACAGACAGCGCAGGTACAGATATGTAACAGAGGCTGTGGTGTCACATTATAAACTGTCCGCTGGAAACAAACAAACATATTGTCTCTGTGACTCAGTTTGTGTTTCATCAAACACAGAAGTTAAAACCCGTCACCCCGACGTCATCATTTATTTACCTGTTTATTTGACGTAACACCGGAGAGTCGGGTCCGTCTTCCGTGTGCAGGAGTAACAAATGCATCGCCCCCACGGTCCTTCTCTGGATGTTGTTATGACGTCAGATAAACGAAGGTGTGGTGAATTATCGCCCCCTAGTGGTGCGGAGGGAAACTCTGTTTTTTTTTTTTTTTAAACATGCTGGACTCAAAATAAATAAACAATTAAAAATAAATAATCAGAGTAAAATTATATATCTTAAACTCTAACAAAGCTTAAGCAAATAATGATATCAATAATCATAATAACAACAATAATAAAATCCTGGAGCTTTTGTATTTAAGCAAACATTTCATCCAGTTTTTTTCATTTCTCAAGAACATTTTAATTGTGTGTCCGTGTGAACATGTACTTATATGTTTGCATGTGCAGACATGTTGATTTTATGCCTGTGTGTGCACACACGTCTCATTTGTGTAAACTTTGTAAGCTTTGACCTTCTGACCTTGAGTATTTGTTGATATTTTATAGGTGTGTGCCATGGGTAGTTCTAGGCAGGGGCCAACAGGGGCCAACAGGGGCCAGTGCCTTTGTAACACTGAGCTTGGCCCCCCCTGTGGTCACCCCTCCAAAAGGAAGAGGCATAATATATATATATATATATTTTAAAGCGATCATCTTTGTGTATTTTTCACCTGGTTTAATGTTCCCCTGACAGAACAACTGGCCCCAGTTTGGCCCCCTCAGTGAAAGTGGTCTCGACCCGCCCCTGTGTGTGCTTCTTTCAGGTGTGTTATGATATCTGCGTGTGGTTCTTGCTGGTTCTTCAGCGTCTGTTAAAAACTCGCTGCTGAGCTTCATCCCGACAGGAAGTGATGTCATGAGGTGTTGAAACGCCTTCATATGCCCCTGTGAAGCCTGGTGTTTCAAACGAGCTTCATTAATGAATTTGTCTTCCTCAAAACCTTAAAAACCTTTTTTTTATTAGATTTTCCACTCAATTCAATTCTGATTTATTTTCGTTTTGCCTCTTACCTTCAACAGTTTCACCTTTTAAATCTTGTAATATTTCACATTTGTTATCAGCCCTCTGTGACAGTGTTGTTATCTCATCTTTTATAAATCAATGTTTCTGTTTTGCGACAGCAACATGACACCGTACTGACTCTGAAAACCATTTGTTGTTATAAATAAATGACATGAATCTGAATTAATAAAAGAGGGGAGAACATGATGTGATTTAAAACCTGATGTACTGACCTCAGTGTCTCCATCTTCCACCCACCTGTTTTAAACTCCTATATTTATTCACATTAAGTGAGTAACCATGACGTCACTGATCTCGGATGAGCAGCATCATGAAGCACGGTCATGAGGCGAGGAGGACTTCTTCATGAAGAATGACATCATCAGACACATAAACAATATGACACAAGAGAAGACGGTGAGATCTGTTTCTGTGAGCATGCGCAGCGGTGAAGTGGTGCCTAAAAAAGTAGGTATACTCTTCATTTTCCCCAAAATGTTTTTTTTTGTGTGTGTTCCGTCCAGCAGAGGAAAAAAAGCCTCTTTCATAAACAGACATGTGAGATTACTCATGCACATTCAGTTTGTGTGTATTAGCCAATTGGAGTAGGGAGGGTCATCCCTTCACCATCAGGGGGAAAAAAAATGCATATACCCTTCACTCCACCACTGAGCATGAGGCAACGTCCCAAATATTCAGTGAGCCTCATTTAGTCTAAATAATAAATAAAACAAGTATTTTCATTTTAAAACAAAATGAAAATACTTAAAAGTCAAGGTGGTACCTGAAGGCATCATCTTTCTCATAGATTATATGTTGGGTAAAAAAAAAAAAAAAAAAGTCAACACAGCAGGCACATTATTGGTTATAATCCTCATCAGTTTCCGTCTTAAAACCTCCCGTTCAACCTTTTTTTTTTGCAGTCATGAATTCACGTGAGACTTGAACCAGAACATCAACAAACCATCTTCACACTTTGTGGTCGACAGATTAACCTGCTGATTCAGACCGGAACTAAAGCCTTTGTCACTGTTGTGTCAACATGACGTCACATATATTTAGAGTGTTTTCATTATCATTAATGCATCTTTGTGTATTGATTGATATTTTATAGGTGTGTTTTTCTTGCAGGTGTGTTTTGTTATCTGTGTGTGCTTCTTGCTCGTTCTTTCAGCGTCTGTTGCTGATCTTCGTCCCCGACCGGATGTGATGTCATGAGGTGTTGGATGCGAATAGCAGGAAGAAAAGCGGAGATCTGATGTTTGTTTGACTTTGGTGTGCAAAAGTATACTCTTTATTCTTATTATATATCCAACTTTATTTTGCCCCGACCCCTCCCCTCCACCCAGCCCCCAAACCGGTGGCATTCCCATGTCACCAGTTACTGTCACTGTTACAATAGCCAATCAGAGCTCACCTGCAGAAAGAAGGCAACCAAACAAAGAAGAGCAGAAAAAAGGGTTACTTTCAGTTTGTTTTTTCATGTTAAATAGTAATAAATACATTGAGATGCAGTGGTTCTTACTTTATCCTTTTCTCTTAAGCAGAAGGGTTAAAAAGTTTTTTATTTCTGTTTCTATTTCTTTTATTTCTTTATTGATCTGTGTTGGATCTTTAGCAGCAATCCGGACCAGTTGTCATGGTGATTAGCAGCACAGAGAGGAGGAGCTGTCTGGAGGAGAAACGCAGCAGGAGGAGGAGGAGGGGGGGAGGAGGAGAGGGCGGGCGGGGGACCGGGGAGGACGAGGAGGAGGAGATCTGTGTGAGCGCACGGAGGGCTTCAGTGTCCTGTCACCTCCTTCCCCCTCCACCTCCCCCCCCCCCTCTCTGATCCGCCCCGACAGAGGGAGGACACGAAGAAGAAGAAGAAGAAGAAGTCCTGAATCACACGGCGGCTGTCTCCTCCATATGTGTGTGTGTGTGTGTGTGTGTGTGTGTGTGTGTGTGTGTGTGTGTGTGTGTGTTAAGACTGCTGTAAATATGACCCAGTGTGAACATGAACACGGCTCCTCCCTCCTCCTCTTCCTCCTCCTCCTCCTCCTCCTCTCCAGGCTTCAAACAACAACCAATAAACACACAGCTCCTCACAGCGGAGAGAAATCAGAATATTAAACAACAATAATAATAATATTAATAAAAACAAACTCGTCACAATCATTCCTCTCCAGCCGCAACAGAAGACAACAAACTAAAACCGGATAAAAGGAGAGTTTTCCCAGCATCCTCCTCTGCTCCTCCCCCTCCTCCCCCTCCTCCTCCTCCTCCTCCTCCTCCTCCTCCTCTCATGCAGTACAAACTGTCTCCTGCAGCACTCAGTCTCCTCGAGTCTCTGACTCGGCCGTGTGTGGACTTGTAGTAGTTGTAGTTAAAATCGTATGGCTTTAGGGCATGGTTCAGGTTTTATCAAGAGTTGGCCGGCCCCTCGTCTGAGTCCGGCCTCCCTCGGCCCCCCGCGGCGGGGTTATTGTTGTTGGAGGCGGGGTAGTAGTCCTCGGGGGGCGGGGCTTGTGGCCCCGGGGCGGTCGGGGCCGTCCGAGTCCGGAAGGCGGACAGTCCGATCGGCAGAGCGAGGGGCAGCGAGGCCGAGCCGAACTGAGACGCCTCCATGGAAGACACCGCCCCGAGGTGGTGCAGCCCGAGGGACACGCCCACATCCATGCTGTCACTCATCTGGGGCGAGGATCCCTGCTGGCCCCCACCTCCGCCGATGCCCGTCTGCCCGCTCTGCCGCAGGCCACGCCCGCCGTTCCCGTGGTGGGAGTAGGTGGGGTGGGGGTGGTGGGGCGGGTCCAGGAAGTGGCGCTGGTGTTGTTGGGAGGCGGCCGGCTTGTGGAGCAGCAACTGGGTGTATGCTGGGTCCTGACCCCCACCTCCACCTTCACTGCCCGGCCACATCCTCATCTGCTGCTGGGAGGGAGCCTGATGGGGGTGAACACACACACACACACACACACACACACAAATATTATATTAGTCGTCTTGAGGTGAAGTGACATCTCGTTTAAAGTCTCGACCTGATACTTAAACTTCTTTCTTTTTAAGAAAAACTAAATCAAAGTTTTAAGACCGCGGAGAAGCTTCACAAAGACGCTGTGTTGGTTCAGGACAGTAAAACCATCAGGGTCTCTCACTGACCATAATCAGACCCACTAAACAACTTTATTATAATGTGTTGAAATCTAATATCCTGTAGTTTGTTAAATACTGTGGAAACATCTGGAGAACCAGAGCCTCGTAAACCTCCATAAGATCTGCTATCAGGAGCCTCAGGTCTGAATTCTCGTGTTCATGAAGCGTGCTTAGTTTACGAGGCAGTGCGGGGGAAAAAGGAAAACATGATGAGAACATGACAGCTGTGGATTATTTTTGAGTCATTTTAGAAACAACCAGAACACTCAGTGGTTTCTGAGAATGGAGGCGGGGATCGATTATACTTGATGTTTACGTTCTCGTGCTCGTGCGTGAACTGTACCGTGCCGAAGCAGGGGCCAAGGAAGTGTACCGTGCAGGGATCGAGTGCTCGCACGAGTCAAACCATCTGGATTTTGAGGGTCAAATGCACGCGAGAGAACTACGTTGGTGCGCCCTGACTCAGAAATAACTAACGATGGAAGATGGTTGTTTACATCACCCTTTATGTATCGAGAGGTTTCCATTAGTCAGTATGTTTTTAGATTGAAATGAAACAGACTGAATAGTTACTGATATGATGTGTGTGTGTGTGTGTGTGTGTGTGTGTGTGTGTGTGTGTGTGTGTGTGTGTGTGTGTGTGTGTGTACCTGAGGGCTGGTCATCTCATAGTCTGAATGTGTAACAGCAGAGTTGTAGTAGCGGTTACTGTAGCGGTAGTTACGGTTGTCATTGGAAGAACCACTGGAGCCACCTGAGAGGAGAAACACAAGAACAACTGTTAAAGACATCTGGATTTAAACCTGGCTGCACGCTTTGAGCATGCAAACTAACCACTAGGCCACTAGCGCCCCACGGTGAAAGTTTGAAAGTTTTCTCAGCAGTTTATGCTCCCTAGGTTTGTCATCATATCAGAATTTAAACTTTCATATGATTCTAGTAGAAACATAAACTTTTTCAATACAGCATCAAAA